GCAAAATTGACCCCATTGGTCTCAACTATCCCCATGTTTCTGAGAACCTCATGACAGCTGTGTTAATAATCTTGGGGATCCTCAGTAGATGCACCGCTGAATGTAATAGTGAAGAGCTTGGGGAAACTTATCCAATCTCCACAAAGCCTCCGAAGACGTAGCTGATCTATCATCGGTCTGTGCTGCTGCCCGGCTGAAGAAGCGGTACGTGACCTCGCCATTCGCAAAAGGACAAGAGTTGGGGTTTCAATTTAGCACTGAGAGAACAAAATCGCACGACAGGAAAGAAAAGATATGGAATTTTCCTAACTCTGTGGCCTCTGGGGGATAAATACAGACGTATCCGTACCGATCCCTCAAACTCTACTAAGCTTGTCTGCGAACTGTGAGACCCATGTAACCTAGAGCACTGATACCAACTTATCACGATCCGAATTTCCCTCCCTCGGGAGTCGTGATGGCGCCTACTATTGGGAGCTAGGCAAGCCAAAACTTAACTACTTACTTCATTAACAAATTACTTCTTTTTAACAAATATAAGCGATAACATGAAATCAGCGGAACTTTAAATAATTAAGCGGAAGGTAACACTAAAATATTTGGAATCAACGTCTATTACAACTTCTAAAACCTCCAATACCCAAAATCTGGTGTCACAGTGTCACAGACTGTCTAAGATTACTACATACAAGGTTTGAAGAAAACATAAATAACTATTCCTGAATAAAGGATAAGGAAACAGGAAATAGAGATAGAGGGAGACGCTAGGGCCTGCGGACGCCTGCAGAACTACCTTGGGTCTCCGGGTGGACTGAAGGAAGTACTCCAACTACTGTCCGAAAGCTGCTCCGGGATCTGCACACAGTGCAGAGTGTAGTATCAGCACAACCGACCCCATGTGATGGTAAGTGCCTAGCCTAACCTCGGTGAAGTAGTGACGAGGCTAGGACCAGACTACCAAATAAGCCTGTGCAATTTAACTACATACAGCAGAAAAGAAGAACAGTAATATACGGTCAAGTATGGGAGGGGGAAACATGCTACGGGGAAACATCGAATAGTAACAGAAGAGCAACAAATAAATATGAAGATCGCCACAGTTCAATTGAAAATAGGAAGGGGAGATCATGCTGCGGGGTACAACAAGTATCAACAGGAAACCAACAATTTAATGTAGAGAAACCGTAATTCTGTTATCAATAAAAATTAGGAAATCAAAGACAAGTGCACGACATCACCCTTCGTGCTTTAACACTCTCTCACCAAAATAGTACACGGCATCACCCTTCGTGCTTTACACTCTTCCTCACCCAAGCAACAATCGCAAGGCAAATAGGGTAAGGCAATCCATAACATCGAAATAAAATCAAGTAACAACAGAAAATCAGTAAATAAACGTAAAGGACAACATAACACAATTATCGGCAAGAATCAGGAAAATCAAGGACAAGTGCACGGCATCACCCTACGTGCTTTTACTCTCGTCCTCACCATAAGAATCAATATAAATTGCACGGCATCACCCTTCGTGCTTTTACTCTCATCCTCGCCATGAAATCAATATAATAGGCACGGAATGGTACATCGTGCGGCACGGCATCACCCTTCGTGCTTTACACTCTTTTCTCACAAAAACAATGCACGATATCACCCTTCGTGCTTTAACTCTCTTCCTCACCCAAACAACAATCACAAACAATGGGGCAAGGGAATAAATGAAATTACAATAAGAATCCCGGCAAGGGAGCAACAATTCAACAATTAGGTCCCGGCAAGGGAACATCATCAATAACATCAACATCCCGGTAAGGGAGATAACAAATAAATCAACAATAGCCCGGCAAAAGGGGCAACATAATGATCTCTTCTCTTTCTCACTTTTACTTCACAACCCTCTTCGCAACTCGAGCCAATGCTCTAACGGTTCAATTATCACTTATGCTTTCACAATTCATCTCACATCTCGTGGCAGGCGTGCCACCCGCTCCCATTTCATCATATCTTGTGGTAGGCGTACCACCCGCTCCCAGTTACAACCAACAATAATCACAAGGAATACCGGCAAGGGGACAGAACAACATAATAACTTTCCGGCAAGGGAACAATGATGATAATAACATGTGAGGCATAATAAACCACAACGGAGTCATAACAAATTATAACACAAGACTTACGGGCATGCTTGACACCAACGTATAGATAGTCGTCACCATGCCTATACTTCGTACTCCACAATTAGCACGTAGCAAATAGACACAACTCCTAATCCCTCAAGCTATGGTTAGACCAAACACTTACCTCGAACTTCCACGGCCAACTCAAGCCTTAAATACCGCCTTTCCTTTCGGATTTGGCTCCAACACAATCGTATCTATGCATAATCGATTCAATTACATCAATAAATGCTAAACAATCCAATTCCAATGCTTAATTATAGCTTTCCGATCATTCTTCCCAAAAACCCAAAAATCAACCCCGGGCCCGCTTGGTCAAAACACGAGGTTCGGACCAAAATCAAATCCCCCATTCTACCACGGTCCCAAATATATAATTATTTTCAGAATTCGACCCCAAAACAAGATCTAAATCACCATTAATCAAAAAGCCCTAGTTCTACCCAAATCCCTAATTTTCTACCCTTAATTACATGTTTTAGGCCTAGAAATCTAGTGGGTGTTAATGGAAAATGAAGAAAACAAGTTAAATATTGCTTACCCAAGAAGTTTTGGTGAAGAAGTGCTTCAAGAATCGCCTAAGAGCTTTGGAGGAGGAAGGGTTTATGAAATTTTTATGAAACCCCGTAAGGCTACTGTTCTGGAAATTTAAAATTTAACTGGGCGAATTTACTCTTCGCGATCGCGACAGACCCTTCGCGTTCGCGATGGGTCAGGCTGGTTAAGCCTTCGCGTTCCCGTATACGGGCTCGCATTCGCGGACCAAAGGTCGCGTTCGCGATGCACAAATGGTGACCCCTCCCCAATTACCTTACGCGTTCGCGTCACACAGGTCGCGTTCGCGATGAGCAATCCCCCAAGGCTCCGCTTTCGCGACTGTGGCTTCGCGTTTGTGATAGACAAAAATACCCCTGCCCCCATTTGCCTTACGCGATCGCGAAGAACAACAGGCCGGGCACCTGTTGCAGATTTTCTGCAATTTTTCCTAAGTTCAAAACTTCCCGAATCACATCTGAAACACACCCGAGCCCTCGGGGCTCCTAACCAAACACGCGTACTAACTCAACAACATCATACGAACTTATCTGTGCGATCAAATCGCCAAAATAACCTCGATAACAACGAATTAAACCTCAAAATCAAAGGATTTTTCTCAAACTTCATAAAACATCAACTTTAGCAATTTAAGTCTGAATCACGTCAAATGATATCCGTTTTTCATCAAATTTTACGGAAATATCTTAAATCATATATGAGACCTGTACCGGGCGCCAGAACCAAAATACGGGCCCGATACCATCGTGTTCTAATCAGATTTCATTTCAAATTTCCTTAAACAATTTCAGAAAACAATTTCCTTTAAAAATTCATTTCTCGGGCTTGGGACCTCGGAATTCGATTCCCGGCATACGACCAGATCCCATATTTTTCTACGGACCCTCCAGGACCGTCAAATCACGGGTCCAGGTCCGTTTACCCAAAACGTTGACCGAAGTCAAATTTATTCATTTTATAGTCAAAACTTATCATTTTTCATAGATTTTCACATTTAGGCTCTCCGGCTACGCGCCCGGACTGCGCACGCAAATTGAGGTGACGCTAAATGAGGTTTTCAGGGCCTCGGAAATACAGAATGTAGTTTAAAAACAAGTGATGACTTTTTGGGTCATCACAGTTGGAGTTCTAGTGTACTTATGCTGGAACTCCATCATATTATGCTGGAGTTCCAGCATACTTAAACTGGAACTCCAGTATAATATGCTGGAGTTCAAGTATACTTATGCTGGAACTCCAGCATAATATACTGACGTATTTTCCGGGTTTTGAACAGTGTTTTCGCTCAGATTTATCTTTATATGAAAAGTGGCTAAATTTCGATTACTTTTGAAACTGGGCTATTTTTGAACGTCCACTTGTAAATCTGGCTATTTTAAATTTCTCCCGGATTCTTGATGCCTGCTGAAGTACTCAGTATATTATGTACTAATTCTTTATATAATCAAACATTAAAAAAGAATTAATTCTTGCATAATAATCACTATATTACTAATTTTTGTATAACTTGTACCTTACCTTACCTATCTCTGAACCAAAGAAAAAGAGATATTGAGCTTGTCTTGAGGGGAAAAAATGAAATCAAGAAATGCATACTAAATCCCACCACAACCATCCCAATTCTTGGTAGTCCGGATCAGTGGCGGAGGCAAGATTTTCGCTAAGAGGGTTCAGAAAAGAAAAAAGTTGAAAAAACTAGAAGAAATTATATTCAAAGGAAATTGAACTAGCAACCGAACAAAGATTTTGAACCCCCTTGCCCACTGAATTGTGCTTTTAGGTTATTTCAAGCGGATTCAGAATATAATATATAGAGATACAAACAGAATTTTACCTTATATATACAGTGTAATTTTTCGGCGAAGGGGGTTCGGATGAACACCCTTTCGCCCCCTAAATCCGTCCTTGGTCCGCATGAAGTTTGTTGTTCCCTCCGTTTTAAAAGAATGAAGCTTTTACTATTTTGGAGAGTCAAACATGATTTTATTTGACCATATTTTATGCGAATAGTTTTTAAAATTTTTGAAGTGTTAACTATTATGACTCATAACACTTTATGCAGTTCCTAAATATATAAACTTTATTTCAAAAAACATAAAGAATATATGTCCTAATTCACACCGGAAATTAGTCAAATTTTATCATGTACTCTGGAATAGTTCAAACAAATGGAAATGAAGGCACAATAAGCAATATCAATGATCGAACTTACGAAAATATAATATATCAATTCTCTCACAACAAAGAATTATCTGAAAACTAGATCCAAACGCACAAAAAAAAAAGCATTTTAATTTAATCAAAATGGGCTAGCTTATGCCGCTTGCTTTGTTTTCAATTAGAACAAAAGAATAAATTGTCACAACTAGTGATATCCTCTACTCTACCAATACAATCACTTGGTCCACCAACAAGAGTAGTCTCATCACGAAAAGTCATATTAACATTACAAAAATATTTCAACCCGCCCAAATTAAATCCATTTCTTCCTACACCTCCCCTATAATATAAATCAAACCTTACCTTAAACATTTCCCATTCATGCAATTTTCTATCACTTGCTAGTGCTCTTGGAACATATAAATCTGTCTCCATTTTTGCTGGACTAGCAGAAGCATTAACCAACGTTGTCTCTCCAATTCCTTGATAAAATTCTGGTGTTGGTAATGTCCACATAATTTTCTCATCAAATATCACCCAAATCACTCCCTTATCGTAAAAATATTCCACGTCACGTCTGTTCGTGGCGTTGAACGTGACATTACATCCGGCGATAAATGTTGAATTCATTTTGGATTGTAAATCGTAAATGACTATTGATTGTAAACGAATTCCATGCATCTCGATGATTTGAGCATTTGATTGATTGATCGTTCTTGACATACTAAAATCTAATAGGGCGAAGAGGCCTACTATGAGAACAAAAACCATGGTCGCAACAAATAGGAGAGATCCAACTTTTTGTGACACGCTTAGGTTGTCGAATTCTGAGGAATTTGAATCCGTCCAATTAACGTTGTTGTTTGTCTCTGCTGGGGTTGAAGTGTAGAACGATGTTGGTAATCTTTCATAGGATGGGTTTGAAGATACTCTTAATGCTTCCATTTTGATTTTTTTTTTGAAATTTTAAGAAAAAAAGTAGATAAAAAGGTTTTGTTTCTTGGTTCTTGAAATTAAAGACCTAAAAGAAAAAATGGGTTATTGCAACAACAAAGCCAAATGTGTTGTTGCAACAACATTGATGATTGATTCTGATTTCTGAAGGAAAGAAATTTTGAAGAAAAGGTGGTGGAGGGCTGGTAACTGATTATGGACTTTGAAAATATAGATCGTACCACCAACATACATGCTGTGCCCGAGAATTAAGGTCGTTAAACTATAAATCCTTAGAATCAGCAAAAACTTTTATTTATTTATAACTATAATGGTACTATAGAAGCTAAAATTATGGATTTTATGCCAACGAGAAAGAGGAAAAAAAGGGGGAAAAGGTAGAGCATAAATATAACGTTTAAGAACTTGTGAAGAAGTTTAAGGAAAAAAAGAAAGTCTTTTGAAATTTGTGGTCTTAAAAGCTTAAGGGGTAAAGCTTTGTGGGGCCATGACTTTTGTGTGGTTATAAAAGCTTCTCATTAAGGGTAAAATGGGTAAAATGAGGAGTTTAAAGTTGAATTATTTCCAAATTTAGAAATGTGTCATTTATTTTGGAACACACTAAAAAAGAAAGTACCTATGAAACGGAGGGAGTAATTGTGTTGGACTTACTTCGTACATACGGATCATTATAAGAATTTGAATATTAGCTACGATACAAGCTAAAACATATTGACCATTTGTATGACTCACAGGATAATAAATGGTTTATTTACCTGATATTTGTTTCTTGATCCACATAAATCCTGACCCTAGTCCCTCCATTCCGTAATTAAAGTCCCACAAAATGAATTGATTTTGACAAAATAAAAAATGTATATGAAAATTACTGTTACTTGGAGTAATACACTAATACTTTCATGGCGTTTATACTTATTTTATCTTTAAAAAAAATATAACATTTGACTCAAGTCGAGTAACTCCAGTATATTGACTGTAAAAAGTCTGAAAGAAGTTAGAATTTATGGAACGAAGTGTGTACTTCTTTAATTTAAATAACTAGAAATGTCTAGAATACACAAGTGTCCAGGTCCTATTCGGTAAAATAAATATGGATTTATAACTTATCTGTTAAGTAAAAAATTGTAACGACCGACCGGTCGTTTTGAGCATTTGCACTTCGCTCGGTAGTTTGGGGGAACAAGTAGATCTGTATGATGTATTAGTACTTGTGTGCAGAATTTGAGTTTATTCGAGTTCATTTGATATGTTTCGGCGCGAGTTTTTGTAAGTCGAAAGTTCGAAAGTTCATTAAGTTTGATTTGAGGTGCATTTCGTCGTTTCGATGTTGTTATGCGTGATTTGAGGCCTCGAGTAAGTCCGTATTATGTTATTTGACTTGCTGGTATGTTCATACAAGGTCCCGAGGGGCTCGAGTGAGTTTCGGATAGGTTTGGGTTGTGTTGCGCTCGTTTTTTCTTTTGTTTCGACGTCGTTTCTTCGAGCATAAATGGTACCACATTGAACAAATGAGCTCCGATTTCTATTTTGATTGAAGCATTAGATCCGTATCGTAATTATGGAGCCATAGCAAAAAGAATCATCGAATTTGGACATCGTATGAGGATTTTATGGTCATTTTACTAAGAATTGGGTTGTCGGATTTTTCAGATTAATTACGAAACTACCACTGACTTCGTATTTAAAAATCTGCACTATTTTCAAATATTGAAACCAACATATCTCCTTTATTATAAGGTCAAATGGAGTGAATCAAAAGCCTAACTTGACTGAAATTTCACAAAAAATCCATTAGAGGCATCAAAAATAAGTTTCGGGATTGTTTGGCATGCAAAAAGAGGCAGAACAACTAGGCAAAAATATTTAATATCGAAAGTGTTGAAGAAGTTGATCATGATAAGTATAAGCTTGAACGAGATAATGATAGTTAGATTGCATTGTAGAGTTTGTACTTAACTCAATGTAAAAGTCATACATGTAGTAGAACTCTAAGTCATTTGTAGTAGTCACTTAGCCTAGTTTTTAGTTGTTTTGTGACTTATATAAATTCGGTCACTTATGGTTGTGTAATGTATGTGAAAATACACGATTCTTCAATACTATTTCCTCTTAATCTGGTGATTTTCTACATGGTATCAAAGCACACTGAAGCTACGCTGCTCACACGATCAAACATGGCCATAACAACACCCTCAACCTCTTTGTGTCTACCACCTGCTTCCCTGCACTATCTGATTGCCTCTTCTCCAGTTAAGTTGAAGCCATCAAACTATTTGATCTGGAGGACACAAATACTCCAGTTGATTCATGTAATGAAGGTGACAAACCTGATCAAGGAAGGCAAGCCAGACACAAGCAGTTCATCTACTTCTGATGGTGCTGACAAGACTGTCGACAGAGGTGATGACAACACTGACTAGGAGGAAAAAGATGCGCTCCTAAGGAGTTGGATATCTGCTACAATGACTGAAGAAAGCATGTACCTCATAGTGGGATGTTCAACTGCCAAAGAAATGTGGGAATGTCTGGAGGAAGCATACCTGCAGGCAACCAAGGATAAGGAATTTCAGCTTAAGCAACAACTGCAGAACATCAAGCTAGGAACCAAAAAGCTTGATGAATACTTGAAGGAGTTCAAAGGCATATGTGATGTTCTCTCAGCCATACACAAGCCTGTTGATGAAGACAGCAAAGTAATCAACTTTGCTAGAGGACTTGGTCAAAAGTACAAAACCTTTAGGACTATCATACTGGGAAAGGCTCCATATCCTACACTGAACCAGTTTGTCAATGCTCTTAGAGGTTTTGACATGAGACAAGATGAAGAAGAAGTGTCTCAACAAGGCTACAATATGGCTTTTGCTGCTCAAAGAGGAAGAGGTCGTGGAGGTCACTCTAACAGAAGAGGAAACTCAAACTTCTCCTCAAGAGGAAGAGGTTTCAGACCTGCAGGACAAGGCAGCAATCAGACTAATCAAGCTACTCAAAACACTGCAAATTCAAGACAACAATAGGGAAAGGAAAATTGCCAAATATGTGGAAGAAACAATCGCACAGCCTTAAAATGCTTCTACAGGCGGGACTATGCCTATCGGGCTACAGAGGATCTGCCACATGCTTTTTCTGCTGTTAATCTGCAGAACACACAGGCTGAAGATGAAGCTATGTATGTTGACTCTGGTGCAAACAGTCACATAACCAATTCAATAGGTAATCTATCAAACCTTCAGCCTTATTGTCACGCCCCAAACTTCGGGGAGTGCGACCGGCACGCTATCGAGGGAACCCGGTCGAGCAAGCCTATCTAGCCTTTCGCACCCGACTCATTCTATATCTGAGGAGGTTGTGCATTATCAATTGTTAAACATGTGAGGGAGAGTTGTTATATAAACGCATAAACATTGCTAGTTAGATTCTTACTTTAAATACAACATGCCATAGTTGAGTTCCCAAAAGTACAAACAGTTGACAGTTTAGTAGAGAAAAGTTTCAAAATACAACGTGATCCTATGACTACCCCGGCACCCATACATGACCCACATAAATGTCTACGGAGCCTCTAAGGATACAGAAGACCAAAATGATGATGCCGGCCACAAGGCCCCGACCATGCCTCAAAATGTGGAAATTTACACAAAAGACGAACTACAAAACCCCTGAGAGGAATGGGAGCTCACAAAGACAGCTGTGAAGAGAGCAAGAGAGCACCACTATCTGCGATCGGCACTATCAGCAACGGAACCACCTACATCCATTCAAAGATGTAGCACCCCCGGCAAAAGGGACGTTAGTACTATCGAATAGTACTAGTATGTAAGGCAAACACAATTCTTAATAGGATGAATAGTGAACAATAGAGGGCAGTTATAACATCAACAGGTACTTCACAGGATTACAAGGAAAACACCAAACAAGTTTCACATGGTTCGGGGTAAGTCTTTCCATTCCTTTAGGTTAATATTCCTTAGTGCCAAGTGCCATAACTTATAATATAATTCCACCGTGAGTTTTACACGGAGTCCGGTCTCGGCCCGACCGGCTAAGCCATCCCAAGTGAGACATATCCAAGTCCACAATGATAATCAGAAACCCAATGTAAATGCCACCATGTGTACAACATGGCGTCCAATCTCATACCGATCGGCTAAGCCATCTCACTTGGGACATAACCTCTTTCAATTGCTCCTTAGTTCCCATTTCCTTCCATTTTCCCATTACGTGGTACAACACCTCTTTATGTTAATTTACTTCTTGGCACTTGGATACATTATTTCAACACAAGTGTTCCCTTTATTAATTCGTTCATAAAACTTCATCATCCGCGTCATCAAGGGGCTATCATATAAGGCATGCACACATAAGGAAAATAATGAACACTTGGAGAACATAATCACATTTTTAGCTATCATGATTTCAGAATAACACATAGAACAATTTTGGGACGAAAGTCCGTCACCCAACACATCAATGCAATTCATCAAGTATGATCAATTCGAAACTCACGCCAACTATTTGGACACTATGAATTCAACACTAAGAAGAAGAGGATTAGCCATACATACCTTAATGGAGCTTTTCCTTAAATCCTTACAATAAATTCCAAAATTCCCTAGCAACTTCGATCTATTTTTTTTAGAATTACAAATTAAGCCAAGAATTAGGGACATGATTAAAATTCTAGCTCATTTGAGTATATTGTCAAGCACTAGGGGTGCATTGTGGTTTTTTGGACCGCTTTGTGAGAGATTTTTATCACCTTCCACCCCAATTGCCATCTTTTTAACTCACAATCTTCCTAAACCCCATTGTCACTCATGCATGCAAGATAGTTAATTCCTATACCCACGAACTCACCCGTGATCACTTATTTTAGTATAACTTCGAAATTATAGATTAGGGCAGAAGTTCTTACCTCTTAGGATGAAGACCTAGTAGACTTTACTTGATAATCTTCAAGGGCTTAAGCTAAGATCAAATGGGGACTTGATGAAGACAATCCTCTCTCTCTCTCTCTAGAACTCCCTTTCTCACTCTTATTTTCAGGAAAATTGCATAAAAGGGGTCTAAGGGGGTGCTTTTAATGGAATGGGGTCGGGTTTTAAAAGTTAGGAAATAGGAGCCCTGACAAAATCTGCGATCGCATAACGGACATGCGGCCCGCAAAAGGGACCGCAAAAATGGTCGCCAAAATCTGAACAAACTGTCTGGGTATGCGACAGAAATGCGGTCCGCATACCTGTTCTGCGGTCACATAATGCACCGCAGAACTGTCCTTCGCAAAAATGCCAAGGGGATTATGCGATGACTATGTGGCCCGCATATTGATTATGCGATCGCATAATTGGCCGCATAGTTGACCTTAAAATTAACTAACACATTGTCTGACTCGGCGACTATGCAGTCTGCATAGCTATTTTGCGATTGCATAGTGGACCGCAGAAATGCACTCCTCTGGAAAAACATTATTCCTTAACTTTTTAATGCACAGATCAATTCAAAGGGTCCAAACCGCGGCGAGAATTTTATGACTTTCTAACAAATATTCCTAACTCGGCACTACGAGATCTCGGGTTTTAAGTAAAAAAATTTCACGGGGCCTTACATCCTCCCCCACTTAGGACCATTCGTCCCCGAATGAGGATCAAGGTTCACTTATTAGCAATCCTTAGGCAACTCCAGCTTTTTCACACCATGACACATATCCATAGCCTTGAATTGGCTAACTCCACAAATTTCCAAAAATTTCGCCAGAGTTTCCTTTGTATCTAGGCCTAACCACCCGCCAGAGAGCTCTAGAAACATATCCTAGTAGCATTTACACAATCCTTAGACATGACATATCTTGCAACGACACCAACCATGGTCGCATAGGCAACATATAACCAAAATAAGACAGTTCTACATAGACCAATTCAAGAATACAGAGTTCGTAGGAACCAAATTCATAAGAGCTATTACATGGCTATACAAACAAATGTGGGTACTTCTTCTTCATTTCTTCCTCGGTTCCCAAGTGGCTTCTTCAACCTACTGGTTTCGCCATAACACTTTCACGGAGGCAATTTCTTTGTTTCTCAACTTCCGGATGCCTGTCAAGAATGGCAACTGGAATTTCTTCATATGACAGTTCTTCATTAACCTCAACCGTTTCAACTGGCACAATAGTAGACGGATCCCCCGTTACCTTCTTTAACATAGACACATGGAATTCTGCTTCAACATGACATCTCGGGTGGTAGCTCAAGCTTGTATGCCACCTGTCCAATCCTCTGAATGATTTTGTACGACCCAACATACCTCGGACTCAATTTTCTTTTCTTTCCAAACCGCATGACACCCTTCATGGGGGAAACCTTCAAAAATACCCAATCATTTTCTTTGAACTCTAAATCTCTGCGACGAATGTCCGAATAAGACTTTTGGCGACTCTGAGCAGTTTTCAACCTTTCCTTAATCATTTTGACTTTCTCCATGGCCTGATGCACAAGGTCCGGCCCTATTTTTTCTGCTTCCCCTACCTCGAACCACCCAATGGGAGACCTACATCTCCTACCATACAATGCCTCGAATGGTGCCATCTGGATACTAGCATGGAAGCTGTTGTTATAAGCAAATTCTATGAGTGGCAAATGGTCATCCCAGCTACCTTTGAAATCAAGAGTACAAGCACGCAACATGTCCTAAAGTGTCTGAATAGTCCGCTCCGCCTACCTGTCGGTCTGTGGGTGAAAAGCCGTGCTAAGATTTACCTGCGTAACTAAACATTGCTGAAATTTCTTCCAAAAGTTGGCCGTGAACTGAGCCCCTCGATCTGAAATGATTGAGACTGGAGTGCCATGCAACCTGACTATTTCCTTGATATACAACTGAGCATACTGTTCCGCTGTGTCGGTAGATTTAACTGGCAAGAAGTGCGCTGACTTCGTGAGTCGGTTCACGATTACCCAAATTGAGTCGAACTTACGTGGAGTGCGCGGTAACCCCACCACAAAATCCATATTGATCATTTCCCATTTCCACATTGGAATTTCTATATTCTGAGCTAACCCACCGGGCCTTTGATGTTCGGCCTTCACTTGTTGACAGTTTGAACATTTTGACACAAAGTCCGCCACATCCTTTTTCATGTTGTTCCACCAATAAACTTCCTTGAGATCATGATACATTTTTGTAGAACCTGGGTGTACGGAATACCTGGAAGTGTGGGCCTCTGCCATGATCCTTTCCCGAAGNGGTTATACTGATTTATGATAGCGCTTGGGCTAAAGGAGCTCCTACGGAGTCTGGACACACCCCCAGTGAGCGCGCACTACTAGAAAATGGCAGATTTTCGATGGCCAAAACGGTTGGAATTTGGTCGGAAATCACGTATTTCCGACTACTTTCCGACCGAATTTTGTCGGTAGGAAAAACGATGGTCGGAAAATAATTTCCGACTGAATCCGTCGGTGATTTCCGACTAAAGTGGTCGCAAATTTCGAAAATCAGACTACCAAATAATTCAGTTTCCCGACTAAAGTGGTCGGAATTTACCGACTGAATCGGTCGTAATAATACAAGAAAAATACATAATTAATAATTAAATTTTATTTAATTTTCGACGGAATCCGTCGAAAACTTCTGAATATATTTTTTTTAAAAAAATTTCCGTACCGAATAAGTCGAAAATATGACAATTTATGTTAAATCTGGGAGCTTTCGACGTTTCAGTCGGAATTTGTACAAAAACTGGGCAGGATTATGCCCAATTTCGAAGCTACACCACCTGTCAAACTATCACAACCAAAAAAATACCAACCAACAATCTGAACCAACGATACATTAATACAATAATACGAACCAAACAATACATTAACACTATCTAAAATTAAACAATACATTAACAATTTTAAACCAACAATGTCAACCATTACATAACTTAAACCAACAATACCAACATTTAAACCCTAACAATTTTGGGCATACAAACATCCAAATAGCAGCCCATGTTCAAGTTTAAAAGCAATACATAAAGTTGTCTCTCACAATCAAGTTTACCAATCAACCAAAACATCACAACTAAACTACTACAAATCAGATTCAGTTTGCTCATCCTCATCATCAGATAAATCATGCCCATGTTTACGCCTGAATTTCTGCATCTTAACAAACATTCCGTTTTGGGAGTCCAATTGTTGCTTCAATCCACGAATTTCATTTTTCATATCTTCCATCTGTTCTTGATTTTGAGGAGAAGAATTGTCTAAGAGTGGGTTTGGATGACCTGTAGGTCGATGTACTCCTAGTCCGTAGACTCTGCCTTTGTTTGCTCCACCCGCTGCCTCTGTCCACAATGAAGCCATATCATCAGGTGTTGATTGAGTTGAAGGAGGCTGAGTTTGTTGCCATTCTTCCAACCTTTTATGATAATCTTCCTGAAATGAAAAACATAACTATTAAGTAAACAAACTAATATTAATAAACTATAAATAATTATGAAGTTAGAATTTTACATATGTGTCTGACGCACGCGTCTCCACCCAGTGTTCTCTTGTACCATCCTTTTTCTTTTTCTTATGCAACTCCTCGAAGACCTCAGCGTAAGTCATATCTCGCCCTCTTTCCTTTTCCTTCATAAGAAAAAGTATGAGTTAGACTTTACAAACGTAAAATTCTATATGTAAAACTAAAAAAAAATTTATAAATAATTACCATTTTTAGTTTATGGGCCTCGAAAGTAATCGAACCTCCTGTGTGCAACGAGCCACCTTTTTTAGAGACACGATTTGCCTTTGCTTGTTCACTTTTTGCCTTCCATTCTGGGGTATGGAAGGCAAAAAGTTTTTACTAAATTCTTATTAGTTAAAGAAAAAAATAATTCACATTTTGCTTGCGAGAAGAAAAAAAGATCTTTTGTCAGTTAGATCATTTGTGTGTTTCTAGAATGTATACCAATAAATTGTTAGTTACTAGTATAAATAACTATAGCAATAAATATATTATTTAGTTAGTATTTTTTATGTGAATTATTGATGCATTTATTTGTTTGATATAAATCTGATAAATTATTTCCAAAATTCGACTGTGACACTTGATACATATTGGGGGAAGCAGCTACTACTACGTGTGGTCCAGTCTTTTTAGCAAATGAACAATTTCTCCTATCAGTTCAAATTATCAAAGCTGCAATAAATGGGCATAAATAACCATGATTAGGATCCAAATTTAATATATTAATATATTAGCACTACCTTCCTTAAGCGACAGTCCTTCCTCATTTAGAGGCAATCGACATTTCTTGGCCATACTGTACAGTCCCCATTTTTTCATATCTAAACTTAAATATTACGTAGTGGAGTACTATAAAGAGAAGGGAAAGAAAGGTGGAGATACTCATCAACAAGCTAAGCTTAAATAATACTGATATACTCACCAAATTTGGTACCATGCTTTCAAAAGTCCATCTCATGGAATTGATAATAATGAAAGATCAGCTATACCCTGAGCTTATTCACATTTCAGTGACAACTTTAGTACTAGTACTAGTATTATTTTGGTACGTTTACTGCAAAAATACCAGGCCAAGAGTTTTCCTGGTAGATTTTGCATGTCACAAGCCCCCCGAAAATCAGCAAGTATGCAAACAAACATTTCTTGGTAAAAGCAGAAGAAGTTCTAAGTTTAACAAAGATTCACTGGAGTTCATGGACAGGATCTTACAAAGATCTGGCTTAGGAGATAAAAGGTACACTTCTAAAGGATTGTAAACTGAATAATGAACATGAACAACTACAACTCGCTCACAATCCTATATGCAATGCAGCATATATATGCTATACACGGTTGAAACACTTCTCTTTGTCATCCTTGTCTGGTATCTTCCATATGACCAACTATTAGAACAATCTATAATTGATGAAGCTTAATCACTGTGATCCAGAAGCAACAGAGACTCAATCTGGATAGATCAAAAGCCGTACAGCCTAAGGGAAAATGTCAAAACACTAGGCACAAAATATTTGTTATAGAAGCTAAAGAAAGCATATGTTAATTTGTTTGCCACCATATTGATATGGCCGCGTTCCAGCTTTTTCCGGTGCTTTAATTTTACTGGAGTGATATAAACCATGTAAGGTGGCTATCAGATTGAGTTACTTTCTTCCTTTATTTGTGTACAAACATAATTTGGCACCTCAACAGATCTATATTCTTATCCTTTAGAACAAAATCACATAAAATCCTTTTCCTCTATCACAATCAAGGCTAGCTAACGTCATTCCATATGTTTGGCATATTGCTCCTTTCTTCAGATTCTTCCTAAAGGACCATCTCATCTTTACGCTATTAGTCATTGAAATGGCTGAAAGTATAGTCAGCCATATATCAACGTGCTAGTCGATAGTTTTATAGCTACAAATTAAACCAGATGGACATGCTGTTGTTGAACTTATTAAGCAATCAAATCCTGGGAAGCTAAGCAGTTAATTTCTGCCGAATGGGGATATAGGAAATTAGGGGTATCAAGATATATCTTCTTTAACAAAATAAAATTTCCCAATTTCTTACTTAAAATTTTAAATATAATTACTAAGACAAGTTGTCTTTTTCTCATTCTATAAGTTTCAATGATTGGACTGGAGGATCTGTACACAGTGGAGGGTTTGGGTGGGGAAACTTACCTGGCAGTGGAGGATCTCGACGGACTTACAGCGGCTCCGGCGAGTGCTGCTCGTTGATAGAAGCGGCGGGTTTAGGCGGAGAGAAGTTTAAGTGAGAGAGAGAAGAGAGAAGGAAGAAAAGAGGAAAAGGAAAAGAAAGGGCGTCGCTTAGGATTTTTTTAAAAAACTCTCCGACCGATTCGGTCGGTAGGTTGGTCAAAAGTAGTCAACCTCGTTTTACTAAACATTTCCGACCAAATCGGTCGCTAGTTTTTATTTATTTATTTATTATTTTTTTTAAATTATTTTCGACCGAATTGGTCGCTAAAAATGGCGCGGAACTTTTCGCCAAAATTTACGACGGACATAGACGCAATATTAGTCGTAAGTATTATTAAAAATTGAAAATTATATTTTTATGAATATTCCGACCGATTCCGTCGGAAATTTCTGACTACTATTTTCCGTCGCAAATTTCGGTCGGAAATTAGCCGTTTTTTAGTAGTGGCGGTTGATTATATTGAGGGATGGATCTTCCCTGGACATGGATCTTGTCCGAAGCATTTATATACCTAGGGATGGATCTTTCCTACGGGCTAGATTTGGCCGTACTCAGTACTGAGTGACTGATAGTCAGTTGACGTATATATTCCGAGATGGATCTTTCCTGGGCCAGATTGGCCATATACAGTGCTTAGTGCTTGAGCATGATGAGTGGAAAGTGTGAGACAGTGAGATTGAGTACTCTGAGAATGTGAGTACATGAGTTCATCTTTGAGATACATTGCATTGACAAGCAGACCTGACATACAAGCATAGAGATGCATTTTCCTCATGTTGTACGGTATCACGTCATTCATGACTTCTCACACATATTGACATATGGGCATATAGAGATATTTTACACTTTCTATCTGGAAAGAAAATGAAACATCTTATTTATTGTTGAAGGATTTTTGTGAAAAATTATAATTTTCAAACTTACTCATATTTTCGACGATTACGGTAAAAGATTTGGGTTTTCTTTGATATACTTGAAAAGCAAAACTATTATTCGGGAAACTATGAAAAAGCTGAGCATTTTATCTCTGAGTTACTTCTTATATTACTCACTTTACGTTGTTATGAACTGTTGTTGGCTATTGGTGTTGGACCAGACCTTTGTTCCAGCTCGTCACTACTTTCAACCTAAGGTTATGTTTGTTAGTTATTGAGTACATGGGGTCAGTTGTACTCATACTATACTTCTGCACCTTGCGTGCAGATGTTGGCTGTTGATGTTGCTGTGATCGATGGGAGCTGGAATTGAAGACGTACTTGCCTTCCGGTTGTAGCTGCCTCTTGTTCGTGGTAGCCTTAGAATATAAAAATCTGTTTATGTACTTTTCGAACATATGATGTATTTATTTCATACCAGCTTTGTAAATTCTAATCTTAGAAGCTCATAATTTGTACTACCAGTCCTTGAAAAATGTATAGGATTCAGATATTTTCTTCTACTCAATTGTGTCAATAAATTTCATTGCAATTGGATAGTTGTTAATTGACTTACCTAGCGGGTTGGGTTAGGTGTCATCATGACTAGTTCGATTTTGGATCGTGACAAAAATAGTTCAGTATTATTAGTATAATATAATATGCTATAATATATTACGATCTCTTATTTTTTGGGTTACTAATTTCATTTATTATGAAAATTTATATGTACTCAAAATAAATGGTCGCCAAACAGAATTCAAAGGTGATATGAGGGCGGCAAGGACCGTTGCATATATTGATGACAATTGATGGGTCCCAAAGAAGCAGCAAACTATAGGCATTAATTAACATGTACGGGGGAATTTCAGTGGCAATAGGCTAAGCCACGAAGATGTAGTCATATTTATCAAAACTTCATCTTTTAAACCACAAAACGAAAAGGAAAAAAAAAAAAAAAAAACCCAAATGGCGATTCATCTTCTTATCTATTAAAAGATGAGATTGATCTCTTGTTTGGATTTCTTGTGCTATTTTGGCCCTTCACTTAGATACCTCTTGGATAACAAAGACACACTCTACATCTCTTACTCTAAATATCTCTCCCTATACCTTTCTCCTTTAATTTGCGCTTTTTCCCATTTAATTTGTTTGCATTCTCATCCTCTTATTCTTTTCTCTCTCCTATATTTCTCTTCTTCTTTGACTCATTCGATACATTTTCTTTTGTCCATTTCCTCATAAAATAAACTACTTAAAATGTATCAAAACCAGGAGTATCCTTTTCCCTGTTTGTGTTGCCACCCTCATAGTTATATTAGAATGGTATACCTTCTTTGTCTCTCTCATTTACTCTTGTTGTGCTTTGATTTTTTTTTCCCACCCCAATTATTAGGTTCAATTTTTAAGATTTTTAATACTGAATTCATCATACGATTGAGACTATGGGTTAAAAATTTAATATTTGTTGAAGTTTTAGTAATAATTCATGTATATATCTATAATATGTATAGAATATACGTACATAATATACTGAGATAAGTTCTACTTATGCTAATGAAGGCGACTTGGCAAACTCCTCTCGTCCTCGATCGTACTCCTTTTATATAATGATAATCATTCTTTTGCATGATTTCTAATTAGCTTTTGAAACTCACTATATTATGTTGAATTACATTGTTGCAGGTTCAAAATCTCATAGAGAGATGTTTGCTTCTCGGCATGGATAGAGATCGATGCGTTAAGGCGCTAGCTATACATGCTAGAATCCCTCCACTCGTAACATTAACAGGTTTTTCATCTCTATTTAATCTCCATGTTGCTAGCTGATCATGCAAAACGTGCTTTTCCAGTTGTAAAAATTTGAATTATTGATCGTATCTAATATTATCATCAGTCATCATCAAGGAAGTTTCACTTAATAATTTCTTGTTTGAAAGAGAACAATTTATTTCGCCTTCTTTACAAGAACAACAACAACAACATACCCAGTAAAATCTCACTAGTGAGGTCTGGGGAGAGTAGAGTGTATTAATTTTCTGTTTTTTTTAATCTCTTGGCATAATTGATTGTAAACCATGATTACAGTGTGGAGAGAGCTTCTGAAGGAGAACAAGGACTTCTTTCAAGTTTACTTCAACAATATATCTTCACGACCCTTCTTAAGTAATGCCCGTTCATTTATTTACTTTAGAAACACAAACATATACAAATATTTACACTCAACTAAAAAATGATAACATAACTTAACTAGTACTTACATTTATTTATTTATATGAGCTCACGTAAAGTTTCCTTTGGCAGGCAGGCATTATCAAAGAGAATCAAGATTTGGAAGAAGGAAACAATGGAAATAAATGCAAATTAAGGAACAGATATTAAATATCGAAGAACTAGGGTTTTCTGGAACTTGACATAATGATTACAGTTAGATTTCTAATTAGGAAGGCCAGCTCACTTAGTATTCAAAAGTCTTATCTTTTTTTCCTTTTCCTTTGTTAACCTTGTTTTGGAGGTCGTATTTTAACTTAGTGCACCGGGCTGCCATTTTTTTCTTTTTATGTGTGTTTAAACGTTGAAACATTTGATTTAAAGCTTGAACTCTTGGTAATCCAACAATAAATCTTGAAATTTAGCAAAAGTTGAAAGTAATCTACGTGCCACTGAGCTTTTACATGCCTTAATTTCCTCTATTCTTTGTCATTTTGTTCTGGTTTTTGTACTACAAGAATACCCTTTATTAGAAACTTCTTTCAACAAGCTACATCAATCATTGGTTCACGTCATGCATCAGAAATATTGTTATCATCATTTCACTACTTTTCAAGCTTCTAAAAGTTGCAAACAGAAACTTTAGTAACCCATTAAATAATAATGGCATCTTTAACACAAAAGGAAAGTGAAATCAGCAGTTTAGAAAAGACACAATTCAATTCTTCCATTCCACTACAGTAGGGATGATAGCTATATCTCTTCATTCATTAGAGGGAGTCATGTTTGAATCCTTTCTTTCAAAGAAACCATTGCAATCTCTTGGAACCTGAGAGTTTCTTGCAGCAGAAATCTATAAAAAAAAAAAAGATTAAATTTAACAGATATGAATGACTAAAATTTGTCACGATACTCTTTTCTAAATACCAATTAAGGGAAATATCATTAATTTTGATATATGGTGGTTGTGCATTTAACAAGCTATTTAATTCAATCAAAATCAGTGTCATACCATGATGTTCATCAAGAAATGTTCTCATCATATAACTTGTTGAACTTTGTAATTATTTTAAAATATTATAATAAAAGAATTTAAGTTATATACATTGATAATGTAATTTTTCTTACATTATTAGTATAAGTTAATATATTACCATTTTTATCATAATTTTCATCTAAGATTATCATAAATATTTTACTTATAATTACCTTATTAATTATACATTATGTAAATAATTTCCGCACCGTCATTACATGGAACTACGAAATCTTAAATCCTCAGGTTGAATGACTGCATCTGCATGCATGCCAATGTCTTTGTCCGAAAATGTTCGGGGACAGATGCAATTAGTATTGATAGCCCTTGAAAAAATTGACTACTACTAAGAAATAATTTAATAATATAGATTTTACAAGTGCAGAAGGCGAATTAGATTATATATTCATGTTTAGCAGTTGCTAATAATAATCAAAAGATAGTAGCCGATTTATATTGCTTAATTACTTTAGGATTAACTTATATAACAATGTAGTATTTCCATATATGGATTATCACACATGTTTCTTCAATCATTATGCAAAAATTAATAATATTACTCCAATTACCACTTCGTTTAGACTCTGGAGAGTACCTTTGGCATCTTTCTGTCTCCTAGGCTACAGCTTTCTCTATCTCCTCTATGTTGACTTGGTGGAAAGTGGGCCCACTGAACATAAAACCAATAAAATTTTAAAATCTAAGATTTTGCTAAGAAAAGTTTTATTGTTCATAATAAAAATTTAAATAAATTTAACTCACATTTTTTGCTGCGGTACTGAAAGCTTGCTTGTGAGTCATGTTGGGGTATATGGTCTTTAGCCTCTTGATCTCTTCTCTGTAAAACACAAATAATGTTAGTACAGTACTATAAACTAATGTTAATTATGAGTCTCTTAATGTTCAAACTAAAAATTACTTGATAAAGCAGTTATAAGCTGATGGGGCTCGTTGTCTTTTCTCTGGAGCTGAAAAAATATGATTAGATTCTTATTGTGAGTAACGTAAAAATAATTAATTAGGACAATTTAAATCATCTATACAATAGATATTTTACGTTTGTTGACGACTTGATAAACTGGAACAACATTCTCTATTTGATCTTCTTCATCTGATGAGGCCACAAATGAGATTTCTGAGTCTACACTCTTCTTATTAGCATCAATGTCCTCCTTGTCAACTTCTAGCTTTTGCTGCTGAAAGCGGGAAAGATAGATTCTAACTCAATTAACATCGACAGAAATGAAAATGAATTTAACATATATTGACAGTGTAAAAATTCTAATTTCCACTATATCAATGTATTTAAATAAGTTATAACTGCAGGTAACATGACTTATTTTTCAGATTACTAATCTTTCTTTTTCATGACGATCTTTTCGGTACACGATTAATGTATAGAAATTAAACTCAAAAGAGATTAAATACGATTATAGTTCGACCTCGGATTGGTTAAGGGAAGCAAAGAGATGAAGAGGAACAAGAGAAGTTTTCATCAAGTTAACAGAAAGGAGGCTAGTGCAATGGCCACATCTCACTGTTACTATCTTATTGCATAAGCTGCTGCATGGGACACTAACCTGCAATTTTTTGGATAACAAATTAACCGATAAAATATAGAGATAAAGAGTAACCAAAATGCAAGAAAGATATATGTAATTTTACAAGTAATATTGTAGTGCAGTAGCCACATTGCACGTAACAGATTGTGTCTTGGAGTTCAAACAGATGATTCAATGCTGACATCTCTTCCTCTTCTTCTTTCTCCTAATCTTTTGCTGAGAGGGATGTTGGGTTTGGTCTAGAGTTGAAGTACAGGGTGGAATTATTTATACTTAGAGCGGGCAGAGGGAAATGCCAGCGCCAATATGTTCGCAAATAATTAAAAAATTTATCATATCCATTCCGCTGACATTTTCAAGTTTTTTTTTTCTTCAATTCGTATAAATTCCACTGATTATGGGCAGTTAAGTTTAATTATCTTTAAAGTGACGTTATCGAGTAAAAACATTGTGCACTAATAATATATAGAAATTTTCAACATGAATATAACTTAATCTTTAGATTATGAGTTCGAGTCGTGGAAGCAGTCACTAATGCTTACATTATGATAGCCTGTCTACATCACACACCTTGGGTGCAGCCCTTCCCCGAACCCTGCATGAGTGGGGGATACTTTGTGCATCAATTGGGCTTCCCTTTAGTGTATCTTAGCCTGTTAAAGCAGATAACTTGCCTTATTTTTCGGATTATCAATCCAACTTTTTATGAAAAATTACCGTTGTAATCTTTTAGGTTATCTGGTAATGTAAAGATTATCTTACCTATCAGTGCATGAGAGTTAAAATTAAAAAAAAAATAAAAATCGTTATTTTTCAAGTATTGAGAATGAGGGTCGTCACGTGCTGAAAATAACATTTCAGTAGACCTGTGTGTTTGACCAATGTTTTTCCCTTTCTCATGTATCCAAAACTCATTCATTGTTGAATTAAATGATTCAAATTTCTTGAAAATTTCAACTCTTGGTAATGTTACCGTAAGTCCAGCCAGGTTTTCCATGGGGTTAGCTATACTGGCTCATGCTTGTTTGTTTAAACAGTAACTTTCATCTCATTTAAAAGGGTCTTTTCATCTCATTTAAAAGGGTCTTTTCATTGCTCAGTATTGGACTCGACACCAATTTTTAAGATCACTAGGCGAAATAGGAAAGTATGTATCTGAGGCTGTCTTTCCTGAAAGAAAGTAATATAATTGACCATGAGAAAATGTTAGCCTTCACTTAGTTTTCTAAATTCCATGCATTGAACGATGTAAAAGATACTTTACACCATCCCATGGTAACTTAAGCTAAGCTTATTGGTAGCCTTTTATCGTTAGTATCGACCATTGATAAATCGTGTGTGAAAATGCTAAGTTACTTAAATTACACTACGTGTGTACGGCCAAAATTGGGGAGTTCGACTTTGGGGCTACTACGCCACTCCGCGCCCAACCTCGAGAAGCCCGAAGCAGAGCGTGAGGTACGACCCCGAGGGACAGCACTACATGAAAATATGTCTCTAGCGATGGGAAATTCGGTCGTTAAAACTCCAAATCCGGTCGATATCAATCAATTACGATGGGATAAAAATCGGTCGTTGCCGGTCGTTAGTGCCTCCGTCGTTAAAGGTAAATGACCGGATTTTAATCCCGTCGTAAGAACCCTTTTAACGATGGCAAGGAACCCAGTCGTTATACCAAGATTAGCGAGGGGATTTTCCCATCGTTATACGTCGTCCCAGTCATTAAAAACATCACTAACAGTAAGTGATTTTCAGTCGTTGTTAGTGTTTGGCGACCGGAATTCCATTCGTTAATTTTATGTACTTTCAACGACATACTTTTTAAAAATCAAAATTTCCCTTCGCTAATGTGAAATTTTAAGTAATAAATATATTACACGTATTCGAAATCATACAAAGAATGAAGTCAGTATTGACATAAAATATCTTTTTTAATTATAGAGAACTAATCAAAGTAGCAATAATATTACATCCAAATAGCATGATCCTTGTTTTCAATTCTTTAAAGAAAACAAAAAATTAAAGAGAAAGTAAAATAGTAGTTTGTACGGATAACGACTACAACTCCTAATAAAACAACATAGATTTCCCTCGTTCTTCAACAATTCTAGCTTGTTCAACTTGCTCGGAACTATCTTTATGGAAAATTCTTCAAACTTCAGGCCCTTTATCTGTTAAAAAAGGTTTATATTAGTTGAGTAAGAAAACAAGATTTAAGATTGGTAAGTTGCTACCACACAGTAAAATGTAAAACCACGAAACGAAGACCATCTCAAAATACTATGAACAATCAGTGCTTCTTATAACTACATTACTAAATCCAACATTAAGCGTATCATAAAACGTATTACAAATGCTCGCCAACAGTATAATAGCAACATCATTGGGAGCAAATGATACAATACAAAAAAGTATTACTGTTGCCTCCTTTTGCACAATCATGTTTAGGAAGAACCTTAGAAGAAACTATTATCTTTAACAACAATGGCCACTGATAGATACGACAAACACCAAAAATTACATGTAGAAGTTTTTAGTTAGAAGCATATCTGATGCCATGTTCTCCTATAACAAACACAAGGATCCTTCAAAAGGAATATGTAGCACAGAATACAAGTGAATTTCAGACGTGAAAGAAATTCAATTACTAACATTTTCTTTTTGACGGGTAACATTCGGTTACTAATGTAATGCAAAAGTGAGAGGAGAGGAATTTATATCCGTAATCTATACAGAAGCATTTCAGGTTTATTCAGAATATTCTACCTGTGTTGAAGGTAAAGAGGGAATATATAAAGAAGCAAGCTCAATGTTCTGTGACGACATATATAATATGCTGCAAGAATTGCTCAATTTATCATAAGATTGCTAACACGTAGGCTAATCACCAATATAAAGAAATAAAAGAAAGATAGCTAACATATATACAAAGTTATATGTAAAACAAATAAATAGACTACCTAATCTGCCTCATTTGTTCAAATACATCTACTGGATGTAACAGAGAATCTGAATAATACTGCGCATAAAACTTGCTATGCAGTCTTTAGCAATACAATTCAGGCACATTGGATACAAAGTGGGATAAAATATAGATGCAGCATGCTATTAAACCAAACCAATATGGAATACAGGCAAAGGTTTCAAGGGAAAGCAGAGAGATGACACACAAAAATGATCGCAAATATAGTGTACTGGTTCGTTGCTGTACAGTAAACTTACTCAACAGTATGCAGGGCAAAACTATTTTTTCCTACATATGCAAGAGCTACTGGGAGGAAGAATGGAGCAGCAAGAATGGAAAGGCAATAGAAATGACATTAAAATCTCAACGAAGGGAGTTTCATATCATCATAACCTGCACATTGATCAACATTTTGCAAAAAGGATTTGGCTATCTGTGCAAGCAGCGGAAAACAGATCTGGACCTCAAATCTCAATAATGTTATACGTTCAAACAATGAATCTGAGATGCACATTTTTAATTGGATTTCAATATTAGAGTAACTGTACATATGACAACGTCGGTACTTTATTTAACTAACAACAAAAGACTTCACTAAATTTATTTAAGGATATTCATGAGGTCATAGTTGGTAGAAAGCTACGAACCTGTTAAATATTAATTTCAGCTTGTACTTTGTTGACTTGAAGATGGTGCCGATGAAGGTTGATCAACCAATAAGCTTATAATATTTTCATACTTAGAATCTATGTTGTCCATACGTATTTCTAGTGATTCTTTTGCTTTTTTAGTTGCATTTAGCTCGGTCTGTAGTGATTCTTTTTCTTTTCGAGTTGCATTCAGCTCAGCAAGTATTGCAGCCTTTGAGGAGCTACCGCCTTTCAACTCCTTAGTGGTTATACCACCCCCTAATCCAATCACGTGACTCTTGTTTTGAGGTCCGAAGCATCTTTCTACTACCTTGATGTTCGTAAGAGACGGCTCAGATTGAACCAATTCTTGTATGCCAGCCTATAAAATACAAAAAAAAAATTAAAATAACAAAATACATCAAAATAAAATGAAGGATGTAAAATGAAGTTCATCAATAAACATACATATTTTTTACTAGCTTCAGGTTCTACAAGCATGTCATGTTTCTTGTGAGTCTCAAAGAAGATAGTTGCCATGTTCGGTGGATTATCGTCTTTGCCTCCCTTCACATTTAAATAAACAAGTCAAACAAAGATGAGGTTTTTTTATAGGATTGCACTGTGCACTTACCAGTTCGTAAATAATTTCTCTAATCGGCTTGCAACCCGTACGATGAGGCATTCTCAACTTAGACCTATTGATCAAGTTTCTAATACTTATTTCCTATATTAAGAAAAAACCATTAAAATCATGAACTGTTACTTACAATAATAAGAAGTTAAAAGTAGTTATGAAGTCTTACCTTAAATTTTTTTACTTAAAAAGTGTTCTTTGACCAACCATTCCCAATCACTCTTGTCTACCTCCTGCGAGACATCTTTTAGAGCTTCATGCAATGGCTTAAACTTCACATATCTGTGCAATGATCCTCTCCAGTTGGTCCATAACTTTCTCATATGGTTTAAGACATGATCTCTTTGATGATTCATGTCATCACTGTCAAATTTGTCCTAAAATATTTTGCAAAATCATTAATCAAGAAAGTAAAAATTTTCATGTAAACTAAAAAAATGAATGTATTCCACATTATGGCATATTCAAAGTTTAGAATACGTACTAGGTTCAGTTAAGATCTCTAAGTTTCATCAACCAACCTAACCTCTGTAATGGTTACATTTAGAGAGGAAAAAAATTGTGTATGCATAGAGACAAGAAAATGTGAGAGCTGCATAACTCGAATGTTTCATTTAGATGCTAGAGTTCCCAAACCCATGCAATTAAGCCAAACAACTCACTGTCCTTGCCCATTTTAGGAGAGCCTTCTACTACTTGAGATACCAAAGTTAACAAAAGTACAAAGATCTCTGACAGAATAAAAAAATCTCTTATAACACTTTAAATATTTTCATGCGGTATGAAAAGAAAATCCAAAGCTAGATATATTGGTAACATGAACGTTTAATAAGATGTAACAAAGTGCACTTCTATTAGTGTTGCGACACATCATTAGGGGAAGCACCGAGTTCTGTTTTTCGAGCAGCCCACTTCAGTGTCTAGAAGCTTTTTAAAGCATCAACTATTTCACACTATTAATAATGTAATTGACAGAGATCTCTAAGATACTCATTTACAAGAATCTACTTCAGGAAAATATATATTTGAGATG